TTCTCAACATATAACACCCTGTCGTCGACTTCTATTTCCTTGTAATTTAGCACATGGGTCGAGTTCGGTTCGTACTTCCTCAACATCGACACGTGGAACACATTGTGCACTTGAGACAAATTCAGTGGTAATGTAAGACGATAAGCCAAATCTCCAATCTTTTCCAAGATTTCGAAGGGCCCTACATACCTCGGATTCAACTTCCCTTTCTTGCCAAATAGGGACAATCCTCTCATGGGCGATATCTTAAGAAAAACGTGATCTCCTACTTGAAATTCCAACAGTCTCCGTCCCCGATCAGAGTAACTCTTTTGGCGACTTTGTGCGATTTTCAACCTTTCACGAATGATGTTAACCACCTCAACTGATTGCTGAATCAACTCGGGGCCCGTTATACTTCTTTCTCCAACTTTATCCCAACATACAGGCGTTCTACATGCCCTACCTTACAATTCCTCAAATGGCGCCATCCCAATACTTTGCTGAAAACTGTTATTATATGCAAATTCCACCAAGTGTAATTGCTCTTCCCACTTACCTTGAAAGACCAACACACATGCCTAAAGCATATCTTCTAAAGTCTGAATCGTTCTTTCAGACTGGCACCTCGTGCAGACGAACTATCTGTCTTACATACAACTCAGCATACCTTTCCATTGCGAAGTCCTTTCGCACTGCTAGAAAATGCACCGATTCTGTTAATCTATCAATGATCACCCAAATGGAATTGTGACCTCTTTGGCTTCTTGGTAATCCCATTACGAAATCCATAGTAATATGCTCCCACTTCCATTCGAGAATTTCCAAAGGTCGCAACAATCCTTCGGGCTTACAAAGTTGCCTTTCACTTGTTGGCATGTTAAGCACTTGGCTACGTGCTTGGCTACGTCTACCTTTATGCCATTCCACCAATAATGCCGTCTTAAGTTCTGATACATTTTAGTGCTACCTGGATGAATACTATAGTTGCTACGATGCGCTTCTGACAAGATTTCCTCCTTAAGCTCAGCATCATCTGGTACACACAACCTTCCTCGGAACTTCAAGATCCCGTCTTCGGATACTTGGAAGTCCGATTTCCTCTTGGTAGCGTCCATTTCCAGAATCCTTTGAATCTCTTGGTCTGTAAATTGCAAAGCCTTGATCTTAGTATGGATTTTTGGTTCGATCCTTAATGTAGCGAGCAAACTCGAGACTTGACTTACTTCGAACTTAAACTCTGAGTCTCGCACTCCTTCCAACAAAGTCCATTCCTTGACCATTAAGTGCGCGATGCTCGACTTTCGACTCAACGCATCCGTTACTCGGTTAGCCTTTTCGGGGTGATACAATATATCACAATCATAGTCCTTGATTAATTCCTTCCAACGATGCTATCTCATATTGAGTTCCTTTTGGAAAAACAAGTACTTAAGACTTTGGTGATCAGTATATATCTGGAATTTCTCTCCACACAAATATGCCTCCAAATCTTAAGAGCGAAAATTATCGCAGCCAATTCCAAATCGTGCGTCGGGTAGTTCAATTCATGCGGTCTCAACTGCCGTGATGCGTATGCCACTACTCGTCCATGTTGCATGAGCACACATCCTAGTCTTTTCAACAACGCGTCACTATAAATTTCATACCCTCCAAGTCCTGATGGAATAGTCAATACTGGCGCAGTCGTCAACCTATGCTTCAATTCTTGAAAACTCCTTTCACACTTATCGGTCCATTTGAACTTCGTTTCCTTCTTTAATAGGCGTGTCAACGGTGTTGCTATAGCTGAAAATCCTTCCACAAAACGTCTATAGTACCCTGCCAGACCCAACAAACTTCGAACCTCTATTACTGCCATCGGTCTCGGCCACTTTACCACGGCTTCAATCTTTGTCGGATCTACTGAGATTCCATCCCCAGAGATCACATGTCCAAGGAACACCACTTGATTGAGCCAGAACTCGCACTTACTAAACTTGTCATAGAGTGCGTGTTCTCTTAACGTCTGTAGAACTTTGCTTAGATGCAACTTATGCTTTTCCAGGCTCTTCGAGTATATCAATATATCATCTATGAAGACTATGAAAAATTGATCCAAGAACTCCTTAAACACACGGTTCATCAAGTTCATAAAGGTAGCAGGGGCGTTAGTCAATCCAAACGACATTACTATAAACTCATAGTGTCTGTATCTCGTCCTAAACGACGTCTTTGGTATGTCTTCCTTCTTAATCCTCAATTGGTGGTAACCAGTCCTTAAATCAATCTTAGAAAACACTGACGCTCCTTATAACTAATCAAACAGGTCATCAATCCTCGGCAGTGGATACTTATTCTTAATAGTCACTTGATTCAACTGCATATAATCAATACACAGCCTCAACGACCCATCCTTCTTTCTCACAAATAAGACCGGCGCTCCCCATGGAGATGCACTAGGACGAATGAAACCTTTATCTAGTAACTCCTGCATTTGAACCTTCAGTTCCTTCAATTTCGACAACGACATCCTATAGGGTGCTTTCGAGATTGGCTCGGTCCCAGGGGCCAACTCGATTACAAACTCCACTTCTCTTTCAGGTGGCAGTCCCGGCAATTCCTGAGGAAAGACATCGGGAAAGTTGCACACTACGACTATGTCCTCTAGCCTCGGCTCTTCAACCGTCGAATCGACCACAGCCGCTAGAAATCCTTGGCACCCTTCATCCAATAACTTAGTCACTTCTAGTGACGAAATCCAAGGGACCGAGGTTCCTCCTTGATTTCCCACAAATTCGAATCTAGGATGTCCAACCGGATTAAATCACCCTGCTACTACAATCCATTACGGCCCTCTGTTTAACCAACCAATCAATGCCCACAATCACATCAAAGTCAAACATAGCTAGAATTGCCAGGTCTATCCTTTCTTCCCTATCACCAATCATAATTTGACAATCCGGGCATCCTAACGAGACTAACCCTTATCATTCAGTGGGGTAACAACATGCAGTACAACATCAAGCAGTCACGGTTCTATTCCAGTTAGTCTAACAAATTGTTCAGACACAATTAAATGTGACACCCCCGGATCAAACAACGCACATGCAGCATGATCACAAAGAGAGACCGTACCTGTGACCACGCCTGGTGCGTCTTCAGCGTCCCTTCTCGCCATTGCATATACTCTTCCTTGGGCTGGCGGCCTATTCTGATTAACCGGCGGGGCAGCTCCAACTTGGTTTCCATTCTGGGGCGGTGGCGATAGCGTAGGCGACCTAACCTGTCTGTTGTTGGGGCAATTCCTTACCTGATGGCCTACTCCGCCACATCTGGAACATGCTCCGCCCCTATTCGGGCAGAGTCCACTTCCATGCCTTTCCCCACACAATTGACATGGCCATTATGAAAGCGGTTTGGCTTCCCGATATTTCTCTTAATGGGAGGGACAAAGCGCTGATTTCTCACCATCGGTTTCTTCCTGAAGTAGCGGTTGTCCCTAGCCGGGGCATACCTTGATCCAGAAGCAGCAGCCCTATCCGCTAGATCACACTCAATAGCTTGGGCTCGCTCATAAATGTCATTATAGTCCCTCAGATTCAGCGATATCATCTGGCTACGGAGGTCCGGCTTCAATCTATCTCGGAACCTCCAGGCTTTATCCAACGGTCCTCCACCATCCTCGGGGCAAACTTGGACAATCTTGCAAATTCTTCCTCATACTGGTCTACTGTCATATGTCCCTGACGAAGCCTCATGAACTCAGCCAACTTCTGCTCCCGTTCATTCTCAAAAAGGTACTTGCGATTGAAGACTTCAACGAACACAACCCAAGTCTGAGCAGTACTAGCAGGGAACACTCTTCCTCTGGTGGCCTTCCACCAATCACTCACATTTCCTTGGAGCTGGTACACCGCCAAGGTTACTTTCTCTTCCTCGGTACACCCTAGTACCTCAAAAGCCTTTTCCAAATCCTCTACCCACAGTGATGCAGCCTCAGGGTCGCCTTTACCATCAAACTTAGGGGGCTTTAACTTCAAGAACTGCTCAACTAACTAATGCATTTGCCTATTCGTATTCACTTGCCCTTGACCATAATTTCCATTATTACTGTTAGTAGTAGCAGCTGTAGCAGCCTCAGTAGCCTGGGCTATAGTGGCATCATGTTCCTGAGCCTGTCTCCCCATGAGATTCCCAACTTCTTCCAGCGCCCTTATGACCCCATCAACTCTTAGATCCATCGCTACTTGGCCCTGAGAACTCGATTGATCTCTTGACTGCCCACCTCTCAAGCTCATCCTCTCGGGTTTCTATCACTCACCTACCTCCTATAATTCCACTCAGGTTTTATAGACCTAGGCCAACTACACCAGTCTGTGGTCCTAGGCAGTGAATTATCTTGATAATTCACTTAACAAGCAATCAATCACAATCAACACAAGCTCACAATCAGCAGGGTTCGTGTACTTACCTCAGGTCCAGACGCACCTGCAACTCAATTGTTAGGACATTTAATTCACCCAACAATCACAACAAACAATCTAGAGGCACGCGTAGCGCTTTCACACCTATGACTCGCTAAGGTCTCCCTAGTCAACTACCCCAAAGGTCATCGTTCCTTATCACTCTAGGTTTCGACCAACTTGGATCGAGCTGACCTTGCTCTGATACCAAATCAACAGGGGATATCACGACCCAAACCCCAACGAGCGGGCGACACCCCTAAGTAGGTCGAATTGAATGCGACGTCCTAGGCTCGTCGCCGACCCAACCCCAAATCATCAGAGATCAAACACAAGCGTAAACAAGTATAACACCCGGACAAGAATTAGAAGAGGGGTAACAGGGAGAACAACCACATAACCAAACGAACAACTTTCAATAACACGAAACATACATATGATATCCATTCTTACAAAACAGACTAGGCTTACAAGGTTAGCAACCACTATCATTAAAAAGGGGTAAGTGGTTTGGGTAGGTTAACTTCTATACCAAAAAGGGAGCATTCTCAAAATGGTTCTAACAACTAGCCCTTACTAACCCCTACGAGACGTAGAAGGTGTCCACTCGAGGTCAGTCCCCCTAGAATCGGTGTCAGGCTCCCCCGGATCCATCCATTCATCAACTGACTCGGAGTCAGCCTCAATCTCAATTGGGTTATCCTCGGATCCCGACTCTGATGGGACCTCAATCGACGGTTCTTCTTCGGGTTCTTCTTCTTCAGGCTCCTCTTCAAACTCTTCTTTAGGTTCCTCGTACTCTCCTTCAGGGTCTTCAAACTCTTCAGTCAGCTCATGCTCAACCTCCGGCGCCATAAGGACTGCCCCCTGGTGTGACTCCTCGAGCTCCAGGTCGGGCTCGACCTCCATAGGCTCAGGGTCCATAGGTGCAAGTGCAGGGCCTGACTTCACAGGACCCGTCTCAGCACTAGTCAGCTCACCGTCAAGAGGAGGAACGGCCGACGAATCCTAATCACCGACTCCATCATGCGGGACATCTAAACTCCGAACGGGTCCAAACTCATTAAAACCATCTCGGAAACACCATGCTGCAAACTTATTGGGTTGCAACTGAGGTTCATCTACATCTACCCAAACCAACATAGTACGCTTAATCCAAGCCTGATTCTCACCTACCGGGTGTTCGATTACCGAGTGCTCAGAGTGCACTAGTATCCCAAAACGTTACGAGGAAGTGTTCATGGTCCAGGTCGGGAGTCTGAAATGGTTTGGTTAAACAACCATGAGAATACTTCTCAATAAGCGAACACCCTAAACCCCACCTAAGCTAACACGTACCTCCAGACTAATTCAAGCACTAAAATCATTCAATCAACAAGCTATAACAACTATGGCATACTTACCTTGCCTCGACTCATGCACAAACCCTGCACGTTAGTCCAATCATAACAATATGCCAATCATCACAAGCATACAATCAATCCCAAGACATAGTCAATACATGCTCATGCACTTATGATAATCCGAACATTTTCAATCTCAAGCTCAACACCTCGCATTTAATAATGCACTCAAGCACACGTGTCCAGATTATTCACAACCCGCGTAAACATGCCTCAGGTCCAACTTTCATTCCACGGCTCGCGTCAAAACGCCTCAAGCTCAACAACACTTCTACAGCCCGCGTAACACGCCTCAGGCTTCATGTCTCTTGCTTGTGTAAAATGCCTCAGGCTCAACATCTCCTCCTACGGCACAACCCACGTAAAATGCATCAGGTTGGCGGTCTTCCGGAATAACCGAGAAACATCCCACGTAACACGCCTCAAGACAGGATCAACTCCCCACGTGAAATACCTCAGGGATTAAGTGATCACACGAGCACACTAGGACACCATATTTTATCTTGACCCCGCGTAAAATGCCTCAGGGCTTTTTAGTGATCATGCGCACATCGTGTACACATCAATTCCTCATGCATATCACATGTTCAAACGTCATACAACATGCTCAATCTCCAGCTAATTCAAATCAGCTCATGCTCACGCTAATGGGATCCAAATGTCAACCATTCATATCACATTTCACCAAGCATACTAAGCTACAACTAAGCCAACGATCACAGCCCACAACTCAACATATTACACTCATTTTTCAAGAAATAAAGTCAGCCACGAAGGTAGCATAAAACAACCACGACACCGGCACAATATTCCAACACGTGTAGTTCACAAATCAAAATATAAACTCTCTATATTCAACCACATTTTCCAGCATACAAATCCACCATAATCAACCCTTATTTGGTCTCTAAATAACCACCAAGTCGTCCATAAATCCATCCATAATCCATCTAATAAGTTAGCACTCGAACAACCCATAATCTCTACAAAATTGCACCTAAACTAGTTCGTTAATACCCGTTATCCTAAGCATGGTTTAGAATGTCACTTACTCAAGGTCCTAAGCAAGATCAAGCAAGAATAAGGGGCAGTAAGCCAGTGGTCGCACGGCGGCCTCGGGCGAACGGCGGACGGACGGCGATGGCAGTAGCTCCGGTTGGCCAATCACGGCCGCTTACGTGCACGGCAAGGAGAAGAGGAGGGGCTGGCCGAGAGAGAGAGAGAGAGAGAGAGAGAGAGAGAGAGAGAGAGAGAGAGAGAGAGAGAGAGAGAGATGGGGTGGAGGTGGTGACGATGCCGCGGCGGGGAGAACGACTAGACGAGCGGCGACGGGCAACGGTTTCCGGCGCCGGCGTGGCGCGATGGCCGAGTGCGCTAAAAGAGGAGGAGGAGAAGAGAAGGTCAGCCAAAGGGGGGGAGAGGAGAAATGGCGTGAGAGAGAGAGAGAGGGAGAAAGAAAAGAAAAGAAAAGAATAAACTAGGGGGAGTAGGTTAGATAAGTCATGATGGCTAAAAATGCCCATCATAGCCTAAAAAGCTCATCATTACCTAGAAAGGAGCCATTATAACCTAAAAAAGCGGCAAAAGGACACTATAAGTGCCATAACTTGTGTACGGCGCTCACTTTGGTGCCATAACTTTTTTTTGGATCACTTTGGTGCCAAGTCGAAGGAAAAACGATCACTTAAGTGTCATAACTTTTTTTTGGATCACTTCAGTGCTAAAATTTTTGAAAAACGATCACTTAAGTACTAAAATTTTTGAAAAACGATCATTTAAGTGCTAAAATTTTTGAAAAACGATCACTTAAGTGCCAATCTCCGGCGAGACTATGGCGAGCCATGTCAGCTTCAGAAATTAATAAAAAAAATGCTACGTCAGATTTCCGACGAAAAATTATGTACGGCACCGGAGTTGGCACTTAAGTGATCGTTTTTCAAAAATTTTAGCACTAAAGTGAACCAAAAAAAAGTTATGGCACTAAAGTGAGCGCCGTACACAAGTTATGGCACTTGTAGTGTTCTTTTGCCCTAAAAAAGCTATGTGGGTCAACTTTTCAAGGAAAGACCATCTTGCCCTTTCCACTATCTCACCAAATCTAAAGGCCCACATTCAAACACACATCACATCCATCTCATCCAACGACTAAGATTAAACCATCCACAAAATATCTAGGGGAAAAGAAGGAAATGAGCAAGGAGGATGGGGGCATTTTTGTCCATGAAATTCGTCCATCAAGGGGGCAGCCAAAAGACCAAACTACCCTTCCACTTTTCTTAAGAGCCTTCACACAATCCCAGGGGCAAAATGGTAATTTTCCACTCCCTGTCCAATTTCAATCTTTCCCGATAAATCCAACAAATTCTAAGATTAATTACGCTAATGAAGATGTCGTCCAATTAATTGTCATGACGTTTGAGGAATTCAAAACCCAAACTTGGATTCTAATTATGGCTAAATCGAATCAACGCGACTTAAGCATATCTCTTACTAACGGACGGCTCTTAGGCGTTACGCGAATTTGACCCGTCATCGACACTAAGTCGAGCCATGTTTAAGTTCACTCGAACCATGGCAACCTCGGTTGTCATGTAATTGTGAGGATCAATCACTAGTTCTGAAGGGCACGAATGTTCAGAATAGGTTTAAGGTCGTTCGCAAATTCATTTCGTGGTCGAGTGGAATCACCCGCGATCCATTTGTATGACATTGGTGAATCGATCCGTGACCATATTTGGATCCGCCTACATTGGCCCAAAATATAACCTCGACAATCCTTATGGTCGAAAGTCAGCCTACGATTGAGTTTCTTTGGTCGCGTGAACTTAAATCCCTAATTAGCCATTCCCTAATGGTTAGTATCCCAGGAGTGATCAGTTCCAAGCGAGATCTAACTACAAGCGCATTAATAAAATTATTCATTTCATAAATCCCAAGTGGGTCGAATTTCAGAATGTCACACAAGTGAGAGCTAGAAAATTTCTATTCATTTTTCTCACTTCGCGATGCCAACTTACCTCGAGTTGCCCCAATATGGGGTGGTTCTTGACAGGGGTAATTTGAAAGGAGCTTCCAAGTATATGAGCTCAAAATGGTTAAGCAAAGGATCACCAGCAGTATATGGGGCAGAGAAATGAACCGCCTCTCGTCATTTTGGCTACCGTACCTTATGCAAGAAATCCCTTTACCTTGCAAACATGGAACCTTTTCACTCGTCTCGCTAGGGATTAGTACGTGAGAATGTGTATAGACTAAGGATTGCCTTTCATCATCCTGACACATCTCGTTCAGTATATCGGAGCAATTCGACACCATTCGTTGAATTGTCAAAATTTTCACATGGAATTGGTGAATTAAACAGGTAAAATTACCATGCAAAGTTCCTTTCCAAAAGACATGCGATGCACTTGGGGGAGGATTAAGCATCCATTTGCTTTAACATGTTTTATCTTTATTTGTTTCTTTCTACTCTTATGAGAAGAGTTTTTAGGGAAAGAGATACTTACCTATGTTGCAATGGTGAGGCAAACCTACAAGATAATAAGAAAGACCGTGTTAATGAACGGCTCTTTGAGGGACAAGAATTGGGAACGATACAATATTACCCTTCGTGACTCCCTTCATTTGAGTTTAAGCTAATGACTCCTTTAGCTTTTCTCGGATGTTGACAATTCCTGTTGATAATAACATGAGTTCATGTTAGGAATGGAATGATAAAGGGTAAATTGGGAACGATACCAAATTATCCTTCTTCCATTTTGCCTTCAAAGCTAGCATGGTCTTTTCTTTTGCGACTCCTTCCTGGTTTGTCTTAAGGCTCGAATGAAATTCTCTATAATTAAGGGTGTTCCCAACTAGGCGGTCTTCTTCTCGGCGCATGCTGTGTCAATGTGGTATCAGCATGTTGAGGAGATTCTTAGGAATCCTCTGATTCCTGACTGCGCAAGGTATGCGCAATTGCTTGCATGAGGATCTTCGCAACAAAGCTAATCTTGACTTTAAATGTCTTTGATTGATATGGGCATCGTAATCTTTTTCGATGACTACCGTCGAGACTTCCATGATTGTCAGGATCAGCATCGGCACTATCTTGTCATATGCAAAGTACTTTCCGGCTGCTGGTGTTAAACCTTTATTCAAATTCATCCTGTATAAAAGGAAAGGATATGTTATTTCTATTCTGAAGTGGATGAACTTTAGGAACAAAATACACCCTTTTTGATGGACTGGGGGGGAATTTCATGCCCCATAGTCTACTCTTCCAATTAAGCGCTTCCTACATTTTAAGGGAAAAACATGTTAGCTGTTTGTACAAACTTGGGCTAAGACAAGGAACGAGATACATCCTTTTAGTATTTCGTTATGTTTTGTTCGAGAGGTCCCAACATTTACGCTCTATCCGGCTCCCTAGCACGTCAGAGTCTAGCATGCTCCTCAGTTCGTCACTTTCTTGTACGAGATGATGTTCCGCTCATCGTGGAGTCAAGGAATGCTCAGCACTTCCTCTGACTCTCTGGGACT